CACACACACACACACACACACGAGTCTATTATCCTATTTTGCACATTCCTTAACTGGGTGAAATGATAGCATTTACTTTAAAACTTTGGTCTGTATTCAAACTTTGGAAAACATTATGCAGTATCACATTTCAAAATATTAAATGAAGAACAACTCGCTGAAGAGACTGGGTTTATTTTTGGGTTTGCTGAAAAAGTGCCAGGGCCCCATTTTTCATTTTCGTCTTTGGGAAATATGTACTCCTTTGATGATTGCCTCTTTGAATTCTGATTCCAGATCTAGTACTCCAGAATTTCATGGGGGGAAAGAAAGCATATATTCTTTTATCCCTTTCATAGTTGAACGTATTTTTGGTCTGATTCCTTCTTAGCATTCAACTGTATGTAATTTTTCCTTAAGGTATTCTAACATGAAAGTGTTTTTTCGGTCCCTTTTTAGTTTTCTGTCAAGGAATTCTTGTAGTTCTTTATTTTGATGTGAAAGCTGGTCTTACATAACTATTCCAGGTATGTCCCACCCTCACCCCTAATGAATCTTAATCACCCTTCAACACCCAGCTCAAATGTCATTTTTCTCTCCAAAGTTGCTCCAACATTATGACAAACTTAGTCACACCTTTCTTTGTGCTTCTGTCCCTAACTTTATTTACAGCAAGAATGCAGTGTTATGATTATTTGTTAATATGAAGACCTCTTATATCACTAATCTGGGTAGCTCAGTGCCTACTCCTACCTATTTACATGGTAAATACTTAACAAATATTCAAATGAGTGAACAGATAATTGGGAGGGGGGAAAAACTCTCTTTTTATATAAGGATCAATTAAATAGTATTCTAAGAAAAGCTCCTATAAACAAGTCCCAGTGGACCCTTTGCATTCCTTTAGAAGATTTTCTTATCCTAGCATCAATTCAAATCCCTGTGGCACCAGAAAAGATTTTTAGTAAAGCTTTCACATTTTTAAGCCCATGAAACCAACTATTTGAAAATTCCTTTGAAATCTCTGGTGAAATATACTTAAGATTGAAGAGATTCATAGTAATTCATAGTAACAGCTCGGAGCTCATATCATTCTTAAAGAATTGTTTTCAGAAAAAAAAAGTCAGTATGGTAAGTAGATAAACAATTATACAATTTAAAATTTTAAAATGCATAGAAATTTTCTATAAGTCACTGAAATTTTAAAGCAAGCACCACTTCCATAAGTATATTTAGTTACCCTTCATGTCACACTTCCTGGTGTGATATGAGACAATGTTACCACATGTTAGCATAAAGAATCTCCATCCTGATTAAAAAGTCAATGTGTAGGGCCAGCCCGGTGGCGCACTGGAGAGTGCGCCGCATAGGGTTGGCCCGGTGGCGCACTGGAGAGTGCGCCGCTTGGAAGCGCGGCGGCGCTCCCGTCGAGGGTTCGGATCCCATGTGGAGACCGGTTCCCGCTTGCTGGCTGAGCGCGGTGCGGGCGCGACACCGAGGGTTGCGATCCCGTTACCGGTCAGTAAAAAAGACAAAAAGGAAAAAAAAAAAAGTCAATGTGTAAACTTTTTTAGTATGTTTGTTTTTTTGTTTTAAGTGTCAAGGCCTCAACATCAGATCCAAGATGTTTCTTGATGGGTATAAGATGGGCATGTGATCACCTGGCTTGATGTACTGAGTAGGTGGAGCCTTCCTTTTTTCTTCTGTATGGAAACCAGTTTTCTGCCTTCTCACTTGAACTCTCACATGGCATGGGCTGTCTTAGTGAGTCCTGCCTGTTGGTTTTGGCATTAAAATTGGGGCAGCAGACTTAATACCTGCACTGGCCATCACAGTGTATCTGGTCCACAGCCAGACATTTTTTGCTGTTGTCTTTGATTATGCCTTTTGGTGCCCAATTTTCCATCTGCCAAGATCCTTAATTCATATGCTACTGAGATATAAATAGCATCCTGTCGTAGTAGAAGCTGCAGTGTCAACTCTGTATATGAAATGTCAGTTAAGGTCGAAGTTTTTGAATTTTTATTCCATATTTAACAATTGAATACTCAAACACAAAGAGACCACTGTGAGCTCTTCTTTCTAGATGGGAGAAGCACACATTTTTGTTTGAAGGTGACCAGTAACTTCAGGGTTTAAGGCAAAGTAATTACTAATAATTAGCTTGAATTTAAAGCAAGAGCTGGAAAAATATAAATAAGTACAGTAAGTAGAGAAATGAGGGCCAAGGACAAGCATTAAAAGATTATACAGACATATTCAGCTTAGACTAAAAAGCAAGCATTCTTGGCAATAAAATTAATTGCTAGTGACATGAGAACCAGAGGAAAGATATTAGTGCCTTAGGGAGTTATAATAAGATGGTGAAGTCATGTCAGGCACTGATACAAATATTTATAATCTGTAAGAGAACACAAGATCTACTAGAATACAAATCCCGGGAAGGGGTGTTGGCTGCTATGGCTACATGTTTATAAGCCTTTCTTTTTTCATTGAGCAGTTCAGAATAGTTCAAGTCCTCAGGTTCTTTCTATGCCAGATCCCTGCCTTTAAAAGCATGATTCTATATTAAGGTACCTGTACTGTGTCCATGAAAGAAGTTATACCTTTTAGATAGAAAAGTATAAACTAAATTTTATTAGTTGTTATTCTTTAGGTTCATTTCAAAATCGTATGTTATATGAATGTACTATTTTTATTGGCTTAAGTTCAGAGGACTCTTTTCTTAGATCATGAATTCTTTGGGTAAGTATGAGTCCTTATTAGGCATATATCCAGAGATTTAATATGATTCCACATTTACTCTCAAGATAAATGATAGTCACCTTTTAAAAACTAAGCAAATCTTTCATAGGCGATTAAAATGTCATAATCCCAAATCAAATATTTATTTGTGGCATATGTTTCGTA